TTCTACCTATGAATGTTACCAAAAACCTCTCTACTCCAGGATTTAACATCATCCTCAAAAGATCTTGTGGCAGTTAGGAGGTCATTTTTATCCCCATTTTTTTTACTATTGTTATGAAATCAGGGTGCGAGCACCACATTGTCTCTAAACGGAAAGGTTTATCTATGTAGGCCATGCTTTTATTTTTGAGGGAAATGAGAATGGGGTTATGGTCGGAGTGGGTTTTTGGTAAATGAATTATAGATGCCTCTGGGTATTGGTCTAGCCAATCAGTGTTGGCAAAAACCCTACCTAAACGTTCCATTATCAAACCTTTGCCATTTCTTCTATGATTCGACCAAGTAAATTTACATCATTTAAACCCTAGGTCAAGGTTACAGTAATTTAGGCTCTCTAAAATATTACTAGCATGCTTTTGATTCACTGCCTTACCACCTAATTATTTTGGGCCATAATAACATCATTAAAATCTCCACCCATAAGCCAAGTCTCTTTATAAGAATTGTAGATATTTTTTATGTTTTGCCACAGGATAACTCTTTTATTTTTGTCAATACTAGCATAGATGGAACTAAATAGCCATTTTTTATGATTAGGTTTTACCTCGATCATGGCATGGATTTCTTGGTTTCGCCTAATGAAGTTGTTGACGATGACTCTTGCATGATTCCATAAGATCATTAGGCCTTCAGCTTGTCATTCTACTGGAACCTCTATCATCTCTGTGAAGTTGAAATCTTCCAGTATTGAGAGGTGGTTGGTCATTCTTATTTCTAAAAAAGCAACCATACTATGCCTATGAGTATCCATAATTTCTCTAAAGTTTAGACGAAAGTTTGCATTATTTGCTCCCCAGACATTCTAGATTATGAGAATAATTGGCTAGTTCATCATTGATTGGTTGGTTGGTGTTTGGTTGTTCTCCCTCACCGTCGGTGCATTGTTCCTCCTGTGGGAGGGCACTAGGATAACTACATTCTTCCCGACTGTGGGATCGTGTGGGGGTCTTATATCCATCGAGCATTTGAACATTGTGAGTGGACAATGATGATGCACTTCTTGTCTAGCCATTCCTTGAAGATTAGTATTTTTACTTCGCTTAGGTTTGAGAATGCCACCCTGGGTTCTCCATGATGTGGAAGTGCTTCTTCCTCTTCCTCGTGGTTTTCCGTTTGATTTTGCATGTCCATCTGTTGTGCATGGGTCTGCATTTGTGGTGGGGGGTTTTGAGGAGGGACTTGTTGCGCTGGAGGTGGTTGCACTGCTCATGGAGTGAATATGGATTTCATTATGGACAACTCTTCTACAGCAAAAAAGGGTAGGTTGAGTGGGATATTCTAGGGCAACACATTGTTGAGAGTCCCCAATATATTTCATATCTCTTGCATATTGTTGGTTAGATTTTGGTTCAGAGAAGGGGCTAGTGGTTGTAAGATGTTTGTTATCTACATCTGATTGATATAATTGGTCATGGAAAGATGCATGCCCTCCGAGATCAACTGGGAAAGGTAGTTGGTGTTTTGGATAATGAGGACTGAGTCTTGTCCGTTGATCCGGAGGTTGAAAGAAATTTCATAGCCCATGAGGCCCAATTCTATCCAGGATTGTAGTTGGTGGTTGGGTGGATTTGGTAGTTGAGTATATATCACTGGTTGAGAGGGGAGTTGAGGTGGTAGGGGAGGTAAGTTGTCCATCGGATATAGACAATGAAGACGTTGGATTTGGATTAGCATGTATCTCCTTCTTAATGTGAGTGGAACTCGAGGCATGATGGATGTTTAATATAACCTTGTGAGGGCTAGTAGCTATGGATTCCGACGGTGGAATTGAGGAGTAAGAAATTATAGAGTCTATTTGCATGGAATAGGAAGAGTCTTGCATATGGGCTTTAACAAAATCCTTAGTAGAGATCACATTCGATATTTGGTGTTGTCTTTTTGCCAAGTGTTCTTCATGGGTGTGATTATTAGTAGGCATGCAATTTGTTTTTAGAATATTTTCTATCTGATTATGATTAGAGGGAGGAGTTACTAGTGGTGTAGGATTTTTAGGGAATTTTTTTATTGGGGGATGAAGGGTCATTGGTAGCTCGTTAGGCCCTTGATTAGCAGGTGTTATTATTTGGAGATTTACAGTAGGAATTGTGTCCAAAGAAGACATGTTTATTCCACTTGTCTGCTTCGGGTAATTTTTGCCATGCAAAACCGAGGTGGTATTTCTTTACCACTGGTTTGGTTGGAATCCATGTGCTCGTTGTTAAGAACACGGTAATTATTGTTAGTAGAGTTGTTAATATTGTTTGTATTAGTATCAGTGGTCGTAGTTAACTCTAATTGGGACTCATCGTGATTTTTTGAATTTTCAAAAATATGGTGGGAGATAGAATTTTTTTCTATATATTTCAAATGTTGAGTGTTAAGAAACTTGCCCATTGAAGCATCAAATATTCTGACATTTATACCTGGGATTTTAGTTGTTGTAGATCCTACATGCACGCTTGATTTAATAGCAGTTTTCTTTTTCTTGGAGAAAGAGATCGTCCGCCATTCACCATTGTTGTCTTCAGTGTGTGTTAGAAACTTTCCTTCTTCATTGGTCATGTGTGTGCTTTGTGTAATTTTGTAGGGGCATTTTACAGTTGAATGACCAAGGCAGCTGCATGATTTGCACATGATGTTATCCCCTTCATATAATATGATCTGCTTGTGCGATCCAATGAGGATATGAGATTGAACTTTTTGCTCCAGTAGTAATTGTACACATAACCTTTCATAGCATCCTCTAATAGTAGAGGATGTACATGCATCGATTTTTAGCATTTCTAATCTTTGTAAGTATAATACTATCGTAAAAGTTCATTGGAAGTTGTGGTATTCTCACCCAAATAGCTGTGTAACTTTGGATTGCTTATGTAGCTACATAGTTGGGGGTCCATTTTTGGACTGAGAGGAAGAAGCCATTAATGAATGATGATCCGTTTTGGAGTGCTTTTTTAGCATTTTCTTCCTTATTGAATTTAACCGTGTAGTAATCCTCTCCGAGATCTATCAGGGAGATGTTTTCAGTAGGTCTCCACAGGGCTTGAACCTTTGGTTTTAGGTAGTGATGGAGAATTCTTTTCCCTACCAATTTGATTATAACTAAGAATTTTCATGGTTCATAGATTCGTTTGATTTATTTGTTGAACTTGCCTTCCTTCTCCCTCGTGAGTACACTGATTATTTGGGGTGTGTTTCACCTCCATGGGTGAGGGTGGGCAATTAGGATCGCTCAAATCCACTAGAGTGCTTATGATTTTTCCAAGCAACTTATCCTTATAAGAGTTATTCTGTTCGAGAGGGCTTTGAACTGAGATTATTGGAATATCAGGTGGCTTTGGAGGGATTGATGTTATTGTTTTGCTGCCGATTGGGTTGGTTTGCATTTTCTGTGAATAGACTTTTGGCAGGAGTGAGTAGAGAGAAGGAGGAGCTTCTCTCATAATATTCCTTAAACATAAACAAAACATATAAAACTAATAAGTCTTTTAGTGGTAACTTACTGTTAAGTTATCTTCACTAATAAGCACATACAAAATAATGATGAGTGGTGAGCAATCATACCAGCAATTATAATTAGTCTTAAACAGTTAAACCTTGTCATTGGTCACTACTAAAGCAACATTTATATGTCTTTATATTTAAATCAAAGCACATAAAAAATAAATTATGCTATACGTGTTAAGAGGTAATTTGGGCAAAAAAAAGTGAGACTTGAGTTGGAGTTTATGGATTGGACTCAAGTTTAAACTAGGCTACTTAATATGCATGCTAAAAAGTTCGGTATTTTGGTATGCCGAAATTCCAATACCCTAATGCCGAAAACCGAACCGAAGATCCAAAATACCAATATTCTAATACCGAAGACCGTGCCAAAAACCAAAGAACGAAATCGAAGAATCGAATTAGTTCGGTACAGTTTTTCGATTTTTTGTTTTTTATGTTCACCCCTAGTTTTAGCCGCATGTCATGTTTTTTATGCTTATTTGAACAAATAGGAGACTAAATAATATTGGAAAAATACAAACTGATCAGCCAACCTAAACTAATTGCATTTGTTAGCCAAAAAAATATCTAAAAAATATATTTTTTAGGTATATAATACACATATATACAATAAAGACAAATATAAACATGACTTTCCCTTCAAACAATTGAACATCTTTAGGTGACTTTACAAAATCGTATTTTTATCTTTAGGCTTCTTATATTTATTACTTTGTAGAGAATCATTTTTATTATAATTATAGCCACGATTATTTAGTTATATATTTTTTATGATCGCGCAAAACACAGACACGTTAACTAGTTTAATAGGAGTAGTTTGTTTGACCAAGCTTCTAAAATCAGTTTATTTTGAGAAGGATTTTTTTTTCAAAAGTGTTTTTCTTAAAAATACTTTTGGTGAGAAGCAATTGATGTTTAGCTAGTTAATTTAAAAAGCACTTTTGAACAGCAATTAGTGTTGGGCCAAAATCTTTAAAAAATTCTTCTAAATATATTTTTTCTCAAAAGTGCTTTTCAAAAAAATACTTTTGGGAAGAAACTACTGTTTTTTGCTTTTCCAAAATTGCTTCTGCTTCTACTCAAAAACATTTCTTTTTCTTCTAAAAGCTTGTTCAAACATTTTTAGTTTAAATTAAATCACTTTTTATTGGAAAAAAATGCTTTTGTCCTGGAAGAAACTTGGCCAAACAGGCTATAAAACTATTTCAGATACTATAGGGACAATTTGAAGGGAAGATGACATTGTATACCCACTCTCAAAATAATAGCTGAAAAATATATATATTTTGTATATATACAATATGTTATATACAAAAATTATATAAATTTTATATATTTTTTTGCCTACTAAATGTAAATAGTTTCCGATGCGGACTAAAAGAGAAAAAAGCCCCAATTTGAACAGGTTCTCTTCAAACAATTGAACATCTTAAAGGCCATTGTCTAGGCGGCTAGGCCCGAGAAAATGTTGGGTCTGTCCACTGAATAACGGCCCGCATTATTGCTCTTTCGGAAAATGTAAAACCCCAACAGGCAGCAAAGCATCACTCACGCATTCTCTCACCGACCTGAAACAACAAGGTACTAGCACTATTCATCTCTCTCTCTATGCGCTTATGCCCATGAAATGGATGTACGATTGTCGTATTGTTAGGGTTTCCTAGGGTTTCATTTCAGCGATTTTCTTCCTCACACTTCGATTACTTATTGCGTGGCTTCTTAGAGTTTTGACTATTTTGTGAGCTATTTCTATGCCGTATGAAGATGTCATTTCTGTAAATTCTTCAGATGTTGCATCGGTTTTTTCTGTTTATATGCTCATTCATTTATTCCTGATGGTTATATACATACTATGTTATGTTACTATATAGGTGCATAAAACAGTAAATATTGGAAGTTTTTAAGTGCAAGGATAATTGAATACTAGGCTTTTGTCTGTTTAAAATGGTTTATGGTTTTGATCGTAACAAGAACTAGCTTCAGTTCGATAATAAGGTGCGATTTCCTTTGCACATTTTACCATCTGGAATTAGTTATATGTCAAATAGGCGATGAATAGGATGACCATATGTGTGATTAGATCATCCAAATAGATTTTTTGAAGCAGAAAAATTCGCTAGCTGTTGTTTTGGGAATAGGTATCTGACATTGTATTTTGGTTCGACCAGGGCTACTAGAAAGTACACACAGTTCCCTAGTGATAGAACCACATCCTATATGTCAATCTGCTTGTGATGTCACTGAATCATTGATTATATGTACATAGATTAGGAATTAGCTTAATCTCAGTTCTTTGGCAAGCACCATTTTCCCTGTGGCGTAGCTATCCTGTAAAAACCGATTCTGTCTATGGGCAAGAGAGTGATTGAAAATTGCAGTAATTTCATATGATGCTGGAATTAAACCAAACTCAAAAAGGGATATACATGGTTTCTCAATTCTTCAAATGTGTATATCCATTTTTCATTTGTTAATGACAGGAAGATTTTTGAGACGTAATTGAGATGGCAGCCAGGAATGCTTTCAGATATGTTTCTCGTAGGCTCTCAAGCAGTGGCAAGGTGTTAAGCGAGGAGGAAAAAGCTGCTGAAAATGTCTACATCAAGGTAATTCTTTAGTAGTGATTTATAACTTACATGACTTGTGTAATTGCTGCTAGTATATTTGCAGTAGAATTTCTGGTAGTGCTAGAAAACTGTGTTGCATTTTCTTGGTCTATTACTCTATTTGACGCAACGAATCCTGGTTTTGCTTTCTTTTAGATGTTCCATTATTCTCATAATCTCATAGTGCTCATTTGCCATAGTAGCATGTATACATTTTGCCTACTAAGCTCTTTTGATAAGTATGTCATATCTCTGTTTCTTCCTTTTCATACCCAAAAATTTATCAATTAATAGGTATCATGGGGCACTTTTTTGACAGTTAAAGTGTCATTGATGTATGTGCACACTGCTACCTGCTATCAGTTAACTTCGTTTTTTATCCTTGGATCAAAAATAGGAAAGAACTTTTACTTTGGTTAAGTTTTGTAGTTTTTGTTGCAAACCAGCATATTGCTAACAGTTATTTACTTATTTTACCTTCTTTCCTATGGGTCTTGGTACCTTTATGGTAAACGTTGGGTATTTTACTTACGTGTTTTTGCTGTTTTTTGAAGTGTTTATTCATGAGCTATGTTGCATGAAGTTTGTCTTCTTGTCTTAGCTAAATGGTAGTTTTTCCACTTTGCAGAAAATGGAGAAGGAGAAGCTGGAGAAGCTTGCACGCAAGGTATGGGAATTGATATATATACAGTGATTCATTGTGTTCCGCCTTTCACCCCCCTCTTTCGGCATGACTGCACCCTTGATGATTGGACTCATTGGCTGAGAGTTGGCAACTACAAAGAAGAAATGAGGTTAAGTCTAGGGGTACCAACTATTAATTGGTATTATCAGAATAGCCTTTTGTTGATTCCATTTTGTATATCCTAGAAGTCTACTGAGTCAGGAAGATGTTGCCATGTTGCTATATGTTTGTTGCTTATCATACTCTCCCCTCCACCATATTATGTGTTTAATATGAGATTCCCTCCAACAGCTCGTCTCTTTGTCCTGAAGTTTATCGCCTCCTCTTTCCCTGACTGCCTTCTCTTTTAGACAGGTCTGGGTTCTGATAATAGCTTGGAAAGGTTACTGACTGCTTATGTGTGTGGAAGCCATCATTTCAAGATTCACTTGAAATAGTCATATCCCGTTTGACAGTGTGCTGACTGACCTACTTGTACAATGTCAAGAATCTTGAAATGTGCACCATACTTATGGGCATTGTGCTGACTTTAGTTGACATAGAAGTGCGCTCATCAACTTTTGAAATCTAACTTATGTGAGGTTGGATAAAGAAATGAAATACTCGGGGTAACGAAATAAATGCTCAATTCAACAGATCAAGGATACAGCTCTAGAGTTGACCTTGTTAGTTCAATGATTTTTGATGTTAAACAGATCAAGTACTAAAACGCTCGTAACTTAATACACTTCAAGAAAAAAAAGAAACTCAGATGGGTGGGGGGGTGCTGGAGCTATTTGCTGTTTCTCTTGACTTGTCTTTCCTTCAGCTGAGTTCCTATTGACCCCTTGAAATTTCTGCTTGTGATGATTGATATTCCTCAGGGTCCCAAGCCGGAAGAACAAGCTGCAACTAGCGCTGGTGGCTCAGGCTCAGTAGCTGATGCTGCACCAAGTGCCCAGGCCTCTTCACCTGGGGTATCGAATGACAGTTACCGCAACTATGGCGTTCTAGCTGGACTTGTTACTGGTGTTGGTGCTTTGGGTTGGTACATGCTGTCAAAGGACAAGAAGACTGAAGAAGTACAGGATTGAAGTATTTCGTAATAGGCAACAACTTGAAAAAAATAAAGCCAACTCATGTTTGGAAAACAGTAGCCTCGTCTCTTTTCCTTTTTTATGGTTTTCCACCGGCTGGATGTACAAAATCTCTAGAGCAGATGTAAATTTTACAACTGCTGACTGGATGATGTTCTATGTTTGTTGCTTGGTTGGCATTATCACACATCGCTTTAGAAAAGAATTTCTCTTGTTGATATGTCACCTTAAAATGTATTGCCCCTCTGTACTACCACTGAAAGAATGCAGTTCGATAGCCTTCCCCATCCATCCCAAAGGTGATAGTTGTTTCTTTTTTCTGTCATTTGCTTCCTTCACATAGTTATGTATGTGATCGGGTATCACAATCTTCCTGACTTCCTGTGTATCTGATTTTCGTATTTACCTTTTTTAACAGAAGATTGTGTTTCTGTTACAGGTGAGATTACTTTATTCATATAGTATAATTCATAAGAACGTATGATAAGACGCTCTTTGATCTTGCATTGAGCTGTTAAATATCTTTGTTGATTATGATCTTTGTAGATTTTTTCTGGTATGGTATCTTAAAGTTATGATGCTTAGCATTTCCTTTCTTGCAACTTACATGGAGACTAGCACTCATTGTAATCTTTGAGTCTGTGATTACAATACCTGTCTGTGATGTTGACTTTTGCGGACAACCCGCCACCATTCTATTACATATATGTGGGGTTGTCCGCACGTCTGCGACTTATCAAGAGCTGTTTGTTGGTAAGATTTTCCGATTAATAATTTGGCTGAAATATCTTCAACTTGTTGCAGGGGCCTATGCTTCCATATGGGGAAAATATATTAAACATTCGTGCACCTTCTACGCATAAAAATCAATTTTTTTCGAAACACTTATTTGAATAAGCTTGGAAATCCATTACAATGCACCTCAGTCAGAGGCCAAATGTGAATGGTTGGGGTTGTAGCACGTTCGATAAGAACTCTTGCATCCGTTATTTACATCAACTCAATGGATGACGTTTCTTAATACTAATCTTATTACTAACTCATAATGGAATAATATACATTATCTTTTTAATTAATGACTTAACCATAATAAATTAGTACGTTTTGTATAAACATACCAACACTCGGTGTTACATGCAAGGACGGGATGCTAGAACATGGATATTTCCTTCTTATTTTGTTTCTTGGTGGAGTGCTTTTTTAGTTACTTCAATTTTTTTTTGAATACCACGTGAAATACACATGAGAAGGAGAGCCTCCAGCGACTGTAAAGCTGTCTTGATGCTTGCATTGGAGTAGACTGTTTCATCTTAGATTTCACTATTTAAGAATACTATATTTTCTGAAAATTATGTTAGTAAGCGAGTACCTTCCTAGTTAACACACTCAGGAACGACCCTTCCATAAAGCAAGTAAAGTAACTGCTTTAGGCCCCATTTTTGTTACATCTAATAGACTATGTATAAGTTTAAAAAAGAGTTTTGTAAAGTAAAAACGTTTAATTTCTTTCTTTAACAAATATAGAGAAGAAGGATTTACAACTGCTATGATTTCTACCAAGGAAATTGCACTTAAAATGAATATCGAACCTGAATTTCGTAAGAAGCGTGTGATATATAGGAAGTAACAATTTGATTCAAATGTTGATAATGAAATCTCAAAATCTTTTGAAGAGTCCTTTAGAGTTGATTACTTTTACAAATAATCTCAAAATCTCAAAATAGATTTGAACAATCTCGCGCATATGAAAATATTTTTGGTTTTCTATTTGGCAGTAAAAATTAAGATCACTAGATGTTGAAAATTGACAAAAATATTGCCTTAATCTTAAATGTTCCTTAAAGCATAATAATCAATTCGATATTGATGATTTAGATTTGTTTTCAATTAAAAGTATTAAGAAAAATAGTACAATTAGAAGATAACAGTATAATTGATACACTTAATCAAATAAAAAGATTTAATTTTTTTCCAAATGCGTAAATTTCTTTTGGAATAATGTTCACAACTCATGTTACCGTTGCTTCGGCGGAGAGAAATTTTCAAATTAAAATTGATAAAATCTTACCTAAAAACAACAATGTCACAAGAAAGGTTAAATGGATTAGCTATATTGACAATTGAGAAATACTTATTACGAGTTATTGATTATAAGAAAATTATTAATAACTTTGTATCTAAAAAAATTAGACTTCAAATAAATAATTAAAAAAATTAAAAAGTTAAGTCCCTCATAAAGCTTGGGTTTAGGCCACAAAATTCGTTGGGCTACCCCTGAACACACTAAATTATTATGTAACTACATGTTAATCGCATTTTAGTTCTAATAAATACCCTGCCTCCGTCTAGAGAGGAGGATATAAGCTAGAGAGCTCATAAATTTATAAAAGTAGAGCATTATAATAAAAGCATATGAAATTTATTTATTTCCCTTCAAGGCTGAGAGAGAGTTTAGGCTCGTCTTACAAAAAGGGGAAAAAATGTACAAAATGAAGTTGCGAATGGAAATATAAAGTTTACGATACAAAGGATCTACATTCAATTAGCTGACTCTTTCACCTTCTTGACAATGGCAAGAACTGCTCCAACAACAGCTACTACAGCCCCTGAAATCAAAAGGGTTGATTTGAGATCCTGTGCTCCTCCTTTCTTCTCCTCCTACGCATAATCGAAATTTAAAGAATGAGAAAACCAAGCAAAATTGCAACAAAATTTATTTTCACGTATTAGCCAAGAGTCTATCGGAAACAATTTGAGATTAGACTGTGTTTGTTGTAATACCTTCATATTATCCGCATGTGTGACCTTTGTCACACTGTCGATCTCAAATCCGGGTAAGAGAGGACATGTGTTTTGTCACATTAGTTGCTCTCCCAAGTCCAAATAAGAGAGAAGGGTTACAATAAGTTAACAATTTATGATAAATTCTCACAGCCCATATATCATTGCTGTGGGCGGCTCAAAAACATTTGGGAGCCTAAAGCCAAAATCATTGTTGTAACAAGGGCAACTCAACAACATTGGCAGCCTAAAGCCAAATTTTAATCGGATCCATAAACTTAAACAAAAATTTTAATATATATTTTTATTTAATGTCTATTTTTCTAACTTTTCTAATAATTCCTTTTCAATTGATAATATAACTATAGTCCATTTAATCTTACTTGAGACATTATTGATATTAGGTAAGATTTATCAATTTTAATTTTGAAAAACTTTTATCCGCCGAGACAATTACATGAAATGTCAACATTATTATGTAAGCACGGTAAGCATTTAGAAAAAAATCAAATCTTTTTATCCGAGTACATCAATTAGAGTATTATCTTCTACTTGTACTACTATTTAACACTTTTAATTCAGAAATAAGTCTAAACCATCAATACTAGAGTGACTATTATGTTTTAAAGGTCTATTATTTCAAGAAAAGGGCCCCTCAAATTTGGGGGCCTAAAGCAACCGCTATAGCTGCTTCACGTTTGAGCTGGCCCTGTGTTGTAATAACTTCATAATATCATAAATGTGCATATTTAGGGGAATATTTGTCTCAATACAAACTTGACGGGGGCATGTGACCCTCACCCTATAGTTCGAGGTGCAAAGGAGTTAAAAACAAATTTAACAATCTATTCAAATATATCTACATTATCCAAGTAGTTCCCGGAGTATACTTTTATAGGTGTGCATAATCACAACTTTGTTGAATTTAATCAAAGTTAAGTACATACAAAATTAGTAGACAAACAAAAGCATGAGGTTGTGAATTTAATTAACCTTGTCTTGTTTTGTTGTGGGATGGTTGAGCACAACAAATAATTATACAAAGTTAGGGTACTATAATTTTTTTGAATTTCCTTTTGAAAAGGACCAAAAAATAATTTAGAAAATTTACTCATCCGTTTCAATTAGATGAAATATCTCGTGTATCGAGTACAAAACAAGTTATTGATGGTTTTACCTGTTTTGAGCTTTTAAAGCATTTTTTTAAAGAAGATTAAACGACGTAAAAGATAGGAATAAGCTAATAATTGAGCGCAAAAAAATAAATAAAGGGAAACACAAAAGAAAATGAAAAAACAAAAAGAGTTAGTATTACCTTGACTTCCTTCGGCGTTTCAACCTCTTTGGTCGCTGTTTCAACAGCGGCGGCCGCTAAAGTCTCCTCCGCTGGTGGTTCTGCCGCCGGCGCCGGTGGAGCTGCGGCTGCGATGTTTTCTTCAGGAGTTGCCATTATTTTTTTAACTTAATTTGGTCACTGCTAAAGATATTTTTGGTACTTTAAATAGATTTTATAAATTAATTTTGGTCTTTGCTTTTCCTGTGGTGTAGATAATAAAAGGATAAAAAGTGTCATCTTCAATTCAAACGCGTGGAGCACAAGTGTCTTTGCTTCTCACATTTCACGTGTCCTCTGTTCGCTATCCAATTATATCAACAAGACTCCAATTTTTGTAACTCTTTCTTCAGATTGTTCTTATTTTATTTTTATCCTTTTCTGGTTCTTTAATTTTCTTTTTGTCTCTTCTTTTGGTTTTATATTCGTTTTGTTAAAAATGTATTCATTTGCTATTTTTTGGGTAGTACCATGTTATCGGTAATAGAAATATTTAAGTCGGGTAAGTGTAGATATTTTTGTTCTTGGGCAAAATACATAAAATGCCACCAAATTTTGTAGTCAAATCCCTCTTATATATCCGATAATCACAAGAATATTATTACACACTCAAACCTTTTTAAAGTGTGTCTATTACATACCACTTTAGTTAGGCAGCACCCCGCGTATCCTACTTCATGAATAGAAGATTTCAGTGTGTCTGAAGCTCTTTATGGATGCCACGTGTCCAACTGTTTCATTTTTCCATTTTTTAATTTAATCATTTTCTCAATCGTTATCCCTCATCTTCAGGTAACCATTATCCCCATTTCCAAATTCAGGCAAACCTCCATCGTGGGTAACCTCATTTCTGTTGGAGTTTGAATTTTGAGTTGTTGAATAAAGTAATATTGGGTGTTGGAAGTTGATTAATTAATTACTTTGGATAGAGTATTATTACTCACTCAAAAAGTTGAATTTGAATTTGAAGAGTAAAAAAGAAGGTACCATTGAAGAAGCCTTCAATTGTACTCCTATTTAAAAATTCAGATATGAAACCCGAATGTATTGGTAATTTATTGTTAAAAACTGATCTGGGAAGTCTAACATGGATTACCATGTGCACTTCACTAAATTTGAGCTCAAAAAAATGTAAAAGGGAAGCTCGATCGCCGGAAAATATGGACGTCTTGTCGGAAAATATGATATTCTTTTGTCAATCAGTGCACTTTTTTTCTTCGTCTTTATTCTCTCTTTCTTCCAAATCTATCCATATTTTCTGAC